GCTTGGAAGTCTGATTGCTTACCTTGTCTGTTACCTCTTTCGGCAAATCTCCTAGCTCGACGACTTGGGGGACTCCTACTATAGGGTTTTGTATCGCACTTGACCAAGCCCGAAACTACATGTAAGCTTCAAGTGAAATTGATACATTACCTTGTGCATCTTCATTAGTTAAAGATACCACCCCCTGGATGGATGAAAAGTACTTTCAGAGAAGATGCCACATCTACGTATGAGACACATAAGGCAAGTGAAAATGATACCACACTTTGGTACTTAGAAGTTTCGTGATTACTTAATTGCTTGGATCTTGCAAGTCCCCAACCGAGGAGCATCCCTCACTCGGGAACTTAGGGGAGCACTGTTTGTACCATACTTGACCAATCTCAAAACTACTGAGCACCGGTCAACGTTATACTGTCAAGGACCCAGAAGAGTTTCCCTCCAACCAAGAGGCCAATCACAGCGCGACACGTGTTGACATTAGAAGCCAATCATAGCGCGACACGTGTCAACATCAGAAGCCAATCACAACGCGACACGTGTCAATGTCAGAATGAAACTAGAAACTCTCTTCTATAAATAGAGATCATTCTCTCACAATATTTCCTAATGTCATTTGTACTAAATCATCACTAGTACTCACTAAAGGAGAGCTTGAACATATGTACTTGTGTAAACCCTTCACAATTAATGAGAACTCCTCTACTCCGTGTACGTAGCCAATCTGGGTGAACCACGTACATCTTGTGTTTGCTTACCTGTCCCTATCCATTTACATACTTATCCACACTAGTGATCGGAGCAATCTAGCGAAGGTCACAAACTTAACATTTTCTGTTGTACTAAAGTCCTCGCTGATTTTGTGCATTAACAAGAACAATCTAGTTGAATAATAATTATTGAAAAAAAAAATACAAATTCAAGTTTTAGTTATCTCAAATTACAACTTTCTAACCATGTGATAGCTGATTTAAACATTCAATATAAATAGAAAGATTAAGAAGTTGAAAAGGATTAGGGGCATTTAGATCTGAGGCCAAAAAATCAACATGGTTATTAGGTTAAGTCTAGAATTATCTTTTCTCCACTTTTATTTCTTTTATACTCATTTTACATTTTTTTTATAAATATTCAAGATAAATTAAAATCTTCTAATTCTAATAAATTTGCTTAATATATTCTAGCAAAAAAGTAATATACTAACAAAATTTATTTGCGGAATATATGACCCTAACTCAAGTAACAAATATATGAATGTATAGGCCCTTTAAGAGAAGGAATCCCTATTTTTTTTTCAAAAAATGGAGATTAGTTGTGGGACCCACTCTACATCGAACTTCAACGATTTGAACCATCTATTTAATTATCACAACCATTTGCATATTTAATCATCATAAGTCTCGATTCATAGACCACCCTTGCAAAAATTCAATTTAATTCGAAACCATTTGTCTATTTAATTATCATAATGAAATTTCATTGTTCTTTATAGAATAAAGTGTTCGTCAAAAATTTTAAACTCATTTAGATGGCTCAAATATTTCTAATTTGGTTAATATTTTGTAAGGATGACCTAAGAGGTGCAACCTGCAAAATAGGAGGTTCGGATCATTGAAGTTCGATATGATGTGGGCCCCACAATTAAAAAAAAGGGAGATCCCTTTCCTTAAAGGCATGCAATGAATGTATGTTATATCTTTATAAGCGAGATGAAACCTAACTAAAAGGTACAAAAACATAATATATTTATAAGCAAGACATATTAATCTGTGATATATGATGATTATAAAAAAAAATGATTAATCTTAGTTTACTACCTTGAAGTTTCTTGGTTTTCAATATTTCCGATAAGATTGCTGGTAAATTAACCGTTAACTGGTGATGTATCGCTCACGTTGACAATGACTGGACGCCACGTGGATATTTGAAAATTAAAAAATCCATCATCTCTCTCCCCCCCCCCGACGAGATCCGTAACCACATATCCTTGAATCAACAAACTAAACCTCCAATTTCTCTGATACAAAACATCCATGTTGCTAACAAAGCTCCGATTGAAGATCAAACCTTCACACTTTGGTTTTGAGAAGACAAAACCTAGAAACTTCAAAGCCAGCCACAAATTTACTAAAACCGTTGTTGCTCTGGTAATTCAGGAACTCGACGTCGTCCAACAGCCTAGCAGCGATTGCCAACCACCGATCTCACCACAATCTTGTTCATCTTCGCAGGTCTAAGAGGGTTTTAGATCGTGCACGTTTTAGGGAGGGAGGGTTGGGATCGCGTGGAGTAGGGTGAGGTAGAAAATGATGGGTTTTATCCACATAGGCTCTATATTGACACGTGGCGCCTAGTCATTGTCTACGTGGGCGTCATGTCACCAGTTAACGGCTGATTTAATAGCAATCTAACATATGTATGAAACTGTCCCAAAATTATGACTTCAGGTAGTACTTTGGGATAAAAAAAACTTGATGTACCAAATGTTGAAAATCAAGAAACTTCGAGGTAGTAAATTAAAATTAACCTTAAAAAATGTCACTTTTGGGCTCCTGTCTGTACAGACCTTTTTTTGGGATTGTTTTATTTCTCGTTTTCACCTATAGAATATTTGTAATCTGTCCTTCTAGACTTTGTTGTAAAAATTCCCATCCACTAAAAAAAAAAAAGGATTAATTCTTCATTTTTCTAAGGTTTTGAGAACCTTAACCAACTCGTTGAATTCGGTAGTGGTTTGGGTGTCGCATCTAATAATTTCTAAATATCCTCATATATTAAGGGAATCAACTACAACTTACCTCAAGTTTATAACATGCTCGTTCTTATTGTGATAATTAATTAAGTTTTAATTAATAATTATATATGTAATATTTAAGCCATGCAATACGTACAGTTGCAGCAACATGCAGGAGTTGACATGTTTGCAATTGTTCCAAGTGGAGATGCGGGGTGGGGAGGAGTATGATTTAATAAAACTCAAACGGAGACAAATGAAAAGAAATGTAAGTTTAACATATTAATTTTATAGGAAATTTCATTTTAATCCTTATCAATTATGACTTTTAAACTAAAATCATGAGTAAGATCAAAATCTAATTTTAATCTCTTGATACATTAATCACCTCATTTATTAATAATATTTTTGATGTTTTAAATATTTCTCTTTTTCTTTCTAATTTTAATGTATTAATTTTATTTCATTATAATTTTCATTTTCATTTTCATTTCATTCATCATGATATATTTTTGTTGTAATCATTTCGATAAACTAATTTTTTTTACAATATATTTCAACATACTTTGTCTTCTTCATTTAGGACATTAAATTCATTATAATACATTTTAGTCCATACATTTAGGTACACACATTTTATTATATACATTTTGATATAAACATTTAGGTACATTAATTCAATATAATACATTTTGGTACATTAATTCAATATAATACATTTCGGTACATTAATTCAATATAATACATTTCGGTACATACATTTTGGTATACACATTTAGGTATATTAGTTTAATATAATACATTTCAGTGCATATATTTGGTACATACATTTCGGTACTAACATTTGAATATATTAATTCAATATAATACATTTCGGTACTAACATTTAGGTACATTAATTGAGTTTTTCAAGTTTGAAGAATGCTAAATAAAATTAATAAATTTAAAAAAACTTTGGTTTGGTAAAAAAATATATTAAAATGTGTAACATCCCACATCGACCAACAGAAATGAGGTGATGTGCCTTATATGTACATGCTCACCTCCATATAGCACGAGGCCTTTTGGGAACTCACTGACTTTGGATTCCATCGGAACTTCGAAGTTAAGCGAGTTCGCTCAAGAGCAATCCCAAGATGGGTGACCCACTGGAAGTTCTGCTCGCGTGAGTTTCCAGAAGCAAAACCGTGAGGGCGTGGTTGGGGTCCAAAGGAGACAATATTGTGCTACGGCGGAGTCGAGCCCGGGTCGAGATGTGACAATTTGGTATCAAAGCCAATCCCTGACCGGAAGTGTACTGACGAGGATATCGGAACCCTATGGGGGGTGGATTGTTAGATCCCACATCGCCCAGGGAAGTGGATCCTCTATGCCTTATATGTACATGCCCACCTCTTCCTAACACAATGCCTTTTGGGAGCTCACTGGTTTCGGGTTCTCTAGGAACTTCGAAGTTAAGCGAGTAAGGGGCCAGAGCATTTCTAGGATGGGTGACCCACTGGGAAAATTTGCTCGCGTGAGTTCCTAGAAATAAAACCGTAAGGGCGTGGTTAGGGCCCAAAGCAGACAATATCGAGTTACGGCGGAATTGAGCTCAGGATGTGGTGGGGCCCAGGTCAGGGTGTGACAAAATGTGTATATTAATAAATTTAAATATTTAATGGGAGACATTGAATAAAATACACATTAATTATTTTGAATTAAGGACATATCAAGGGACTATAATCAATATGTAATCTAACACTAGGTTTATTTTAAATTTCAATCTTTTTTAAGGATTAAAGCTAGAAAATCCCTTAATTTTAATATTATAGTCAAAGAAAAAGTATTATCGGACCTTGAATTAACCAAAAGGAAGTTCTGGCTTTATCTATACTATTATTAAGAAAATCCTCATTGTCAACTTTTTGCCATTTTTTTCTTATTTTGCCCTCACTTTTAATACACAATACTTACATAAGGAGGGCAAAATAGTAATTTTGTATCTTTTGATAAAATGACAATCATTTCCTTATTTTTCCTATTTTATCCCCACTTTTGATACACGATATTTACATAAGGAGGACAAAACAGTAATTATGTAATATTAAGATAAAATATGCACTTCTTAAGAGAAAATGTCTCACAATCATTTTTTCATACTCTTTTTAAAATGTAAAAAACTAATCACATTCCTTAATAAAAAACAAAAAACAAAATGAAATTGTTCATACATACAGAGTGTGTGCTCATTGGCTAGTATATATAGAAGACAAGTAACACATTCAAGTGGCATTAAGCATCACAATACAAATATAGACAGTCCAATGGCCCTGCAGCTGGAAGAAGAGGAAAACTTCGGCTATGCCATGCAGATTGCGTTTTCTTCAGTGCTGTCCATGTCTATGCAATCAGCAATCGAGTTAGGCGTTTTCGACATCATAGCAAAAGCCGGTCCTGGTGCCAAGCTCTCTTCATCAGAGATTGTAGCCCATATCGGCAGCGGCACCAGGAATTCTGAGGCACCGATGATGTTGGACCGTATTCTAAGGCTCCTAGCCAGTCACTCTATTCTCATCTGCTCTTTTGTTGCTAATGAAGAAGATGGGTCTGATTCTCAAAGGCTCTACAGCCTTGGCCCTGTGTCCAACTACTTTGTGACTAATGAAGATGGTGTTTCTTTAGGCCCCTTGATGTCATTCATTCAAGACAAGATCTTACTAGACAACTGGTCTGTTTAGTACTACTCTCTTGGCCCTGCTATGTAACCATTGTCTTAACCCTTTTCTCTTGGCCCTATTAATCGGAGCAATGATCCTGAATTTTGCCTAGAAACACTTGCCACTTATTTATTCACAACAAATTAGAAATTTCCACATCAGTCATTGATGAAATAAATTGGTGTCATGCTTGTTTTTTTCTTCCTAATTAGCCTAATTAATAGTAATTTTCTCTTTTTAAATCTAACTTGGGTGGTAACACTTTGACATTGATAGGCCCCAGCTAAAAGAAGCAGTTACTGAAGGAGGAACTCCATTTAAGAGGGTCCATGGTATCCATTCTTTTGAGTATCTAGATTTAGACCCCAGGTTTAATCAAGTTTTCAGCACAGGAATGTTTAACCACACCGCTATTGTCATGAAGAAGATTGTTCATGTCTACAAGGGTTTTGAGAAACTTACTCAACTTGTTGACGTTGGCGGTAATGTGGGAGTGAATCTTAGTGTAATCACTTCTAAATATCCTCATATTAAGGGTATCAATTTCGACTTGCCTCATGTTGTAAAACATGCCCCTTCATATCCTGGTAAACATCATTTTCCTTCTTAGTTTTATTTATCATGCACAAGCATGCAGCTTAAAATAGGAGTCAATTTATTTTTGCAGGGGTCGAACATGTTGGAGGAGACATGTTGGCAAGTGTTCCATCTGGGGATGCCATTTTTATGAAGGTAATTTTTCAATTTCTCGAGCATTAATTTTTTTTATTTTTTAGTTTGAGGTCATAAAAACAATGGTTACAATGTATCTTTTGATAAATTTGTAGTGGATACTTCACGATTGGAATGACCAAGACTGCATAAAGTTGTTGAAAAATTGTTACAACGCTATTCCAGACAATGGAAAAGTGATTATCGTGGAAGCACTTCTTCCGGCGATGCCAGAGACTAGCACCGCCGTGAAGAGCACATCCCAGATTGATGTGCTTATGCTGACTCTTAACCGGGGAGCAAAGGAGCGGAGCCGAGAAGAGTTCATGGCTTTGGCAACTGGTGCTGGATTTAGAGGCATTAAATATGAATGTTTTGTCTGTAATTGTTGGGTGATGGAGATCTTTAAGTAAACTCCTGCTTAGAAAAAGTTACACCACTTCATGGAAGTGTACTCATCATGGCCTCCTGCCCCATCAATAACTCCGGCCCATAATTCCTGTCTCAGAAACACCTCTGTCTGTGAGCATGATCAAAAAATTATTTTTCTTAAAACCACAAGGAGACATGTCATGGCAACATATGTACGTGTATATGTCTGATGCACCAATAAGAATTATGGTTTGGAATCTGTTTTTCTTCTTTCCTCGTCCTTAAAAAGATGTACTCATACAACTCTGAAATGTTTAGAGGTTCACAAGCAGCACGCATTTGGTCATATATTCATTGACTCTAAAATCCTCTAAAGTCATTGTAAACACAAAAATTCTATAACGAATGAAACGAGAACACGTGTATAGAGTAGATTTGTATTGATGAATTTGTAGGGTTACAATCTCTGTTTACAATTTTCCTCTGATTCAGTCTTCAAATTTGATGTAGATGCATATGTTGGTGATCCAAGGGTCACGATGACTTGATCTCAGACGAACGATTGAGCGATTGCTTCAAATTTTGAGTTTGAAACAATGCGTGGATAGTCTTTGCCTCTAGGTTTGTGTATGACCTGCGGCAAAGGTGATGTTGATGTGGCATTTTGTTGATTCAAGGGTCTTGGCGACTTGATCTTGAATCGAACATCGTTATAAGTTTTAAGCTTTCAACAAACTCTTGAAGGAATCGGCACAAGTGCTTGTTGATTCTTCAAGAGAATGCTTCGGCTTTGGCCGAAAGTAAGCTTCAGCTTTGGTTATATGTTATTCGAAGAGAGCTTTGGCAGCGTATTAGTCTTCAAAGGCAGAGGTTCTCCTTTTGTGAGAATTTTGGCCTTTCAATGTAGAAATTGTCGACCTTTATGCTTGTCTGAGGACCTTGTATTTATAGACTTCTCAAAGCTTGCGTTTGGATAGATTTGGCATTGATTTGTGTCTTGATTCATCCATGGTAGAATTTAGGCATGTTTTGTGTCTTAATTTCAGCCACTTTCCTTTTCTTGGCCGAAATCTATAAGGCTTTCTTGCCTATTTTGCGAGCAATCTTCAATTTTTGCTTGTTTTGTGAAGATGCTTTAGCTTTCATTCTGGTTTTGGGAGCAATATGGGCCCCTTGCCGATTTTAAGGAGATTTCTTCCCCTTTGCCGCATTTTAGGAATGCTTTTGAGCTTCCTTTACTTGATTTGTGCCACATGTCATTGATGCCTTGTTCATTTGTGATAGTCATATGCCACGTGGAGTTTTGTGATGCATTATTTGCATGAAACGTAATTTACATGTCTACAAATGCCCCCACTTCAAGGCTCGTTGTAGGCATGTGCTTGTCACATGTAGGAAATGTGTTTTGGAAGTTCTGCAATGCGAATATTCTAACTCAAGGGTCGTCGAGACTTGATCTTGAATTAGTTTGCTTCTTCAAAGGCTGTAGAGGCGTATTTCTTGAACGAAACATTTCTTCAAGGGCCGTTGAGGCGTATTTCTTGAACTGAAATGATGATTTCATCAAGGGCCATTGAGGCGTATTTCTTGAACGAAACATTTCTTCAAGGGGCGTTGAGGTGTATTTCTTGAACTGAAATGATGAATTTTGTCAAGGGCCATTAAGGTGTATTTCTTGAACGAAACATTTCCTCTAGGGCCGTTGAGGCTTGGACTTGAATGATATGAAAATTTTCTTCAAAGGTTGTAGAAGCTTAATCTTGAATGAAATGGAAATTTTCTTCAAGGGCCGTAGAGGCTTGATCTTGAATGAATTTTTTTTTGAAAATGGATAAATCGGCACATACTTATTGTGCGTATGATTTTCCAAATTTTTTTTGGCAAAATACATTTGGTATATTTTGAGGCTTGGATTTTTTCATTGTGGGTGTGGGGAAAATGCTTTTTTCTTCCTTGAGTTGGAGCCTCCTTCAATTTTGGCATGAGGGTGATTTCTTTCAAGGTTTTGGAAAACTCTGGTGATTTCCTTCAAGGTTTTGGAAAGCTTTGATAATTTCCTTCAAGATTTTGGAAAGCTTTAATCTTGTCCTTGGGTAAGTAGGATTTGCATTTTTTTTTTCCTTTCCCTTTTCATATTTTTTTTCTTTTGGGCCAAGGAGGGTGTTTTCCCCTTTGATTTGGGAAACTTGAAGACTTGTCCTTCCCTTGGAGGGATTTCCTTTTGTATTTTGGCAAGGAGAGGTACTTTCCTTTGATGTTTTTGAAAATTTTGAAGCCCTTTCCTTTTTTTTTGTTTTGTTTTGTTTTCTTTGCTGATTTTTGTTGCAAAAAAAAAAAGTGTTGTAGGCATAATTTACTAAACAATTATTGAGGCCATAGAGAGAGGGAGAGAGTGCGGCATAGAGAGAGAAGAAGAGAGATGCATAATTGTGGATGTGTTTTATTCCATCCCATTGTGCCTTTATTTATAGTAGTAGGATAGGTAAAAAGCTTTCCCTTTAGGATTACAACATTTAATAGGTAATATACTCCTGATAGAAATATAAGAGATATTCCAAGTTATACTAGGATTTACACAATCACATTCTTATTCTAATAGGACTGCAACAAAAAGAAGTATTTTTTCCCCTTTATTGCCGTGCATACGCATTGCCTTTTTTGCTTGAAATTTGTTTCCTTCTTGTAGGTAGAATGTGCTTCCTTGTTTTGATTTTCCTTTTGCTATTTGGTATGTATTTCCCTTATAGCATTAGGAAGAAATTGACCCTTATTTATAGGACAATTGGGTGTACGTTTTGTCACATACCACCCTTGTCGTGCACTGCCTCTGTGCTTGCCATGTGCTTGTTGTTGCTTAGTGTTGTAGGTTTTGCTACTTGGAGCTGTGCCTTTTACTGCTTGGTGCTTGTTGTAGTGCATCACCTTTTACCATGTGGTGCTATGCGAAAGACTACAGCGAGGTTACGTTGTGTAGTGCCCTTTGGTCACAGTTTTCCTCGGTGGTGATGTTGCCGTGCAATGCAAGAAACTGCTTGCGTAATCATTGCGAGGTTGCGTAGTGCAATTGTGTAGCATTTTGGTTTTCTTTGCTACTGTAGCATGCTTTGAAGGACCGTCTTGTAGCTGCCCTCATTGTTGTGCTGCTCAAGCTTTGTGGCTGATTTCTTTTTGTCGTAGTGACTTTGTCATCGTCATCCTTCAACGCTCACGAGGTTTGTCTCGCATGTCTTTTGCTTTAGTGAAGCAATTTTTTTTTCTTGCCGCCCCACTCTTATGCTTATGTTGCCTTGTTTGTTTTGTTGCAGCCATGGTATTTTTCAAGTTCTTTAAGAGCAATACCATCACCATTCTTGCAAAGGAAGGCGATTTGCAAGATAAGGGAACGACGTTGAAGCTTTGTACACTGTTGACTAGCCCTAAGGCGCTTGTTCTTCTTGTGAAAGACAACTCGATGCATATCAAGTCGTGGTCATCTGGGGAGGTGATAATTTTTGGTCAACTAAATACAAAGAAGAAGGTGTGTACATCGAGGATTCTTATCTTGAAACCTTTGCACCATGTTTGTGACAATCCACTGGCTTCATTTGAGCTTCTTGGCGATCGCATCCATAGCGGAGCTATGACTTAGAATAGCACTTTGTCGACTATTAGAGATGTCATCTTTGCTGAGTTTTACTGGGAGTGGTTAAAGATGTCTTGAGCCAATCCAAAGATGTGCTTACTAACGTGGGCCTTTATCATGCCGTATACGCATCTTTGTTTAGTCATGATCATCATCCTTCTGTCTTTCGTGCATTCTTTAAGCATTGATGTTCAACGATCAACACACTTCACACAACTCAAGGGGAGATATCGATTTCACTTTAGGATCTCCATAAGATAAGAGGCTTGCCGATCCATGGTAAGTTATTTGACCAGGTTATTCCTAGTGTGGAGGAATTTTCTCATCACAATAGCTGATTATTGCCTACTAGTTGCCGCTATTTGTCTTGGGCGTATCACAAGCTTTCCCAGGAGCCTTAAGGTAAGTCAGGTGTGAAGATATCTTCATCAATCCGATTTTGGTATTGGGGTGCCATGAAGTACAATAAGCCTTTAAAGAAAAGTGGCTGCAACAAGACAACCAAGCCAAATGGAGACTTAGATCTATCAGGTGCCATTGGTTCAGTTAAGCGCCATGTTCCTACTGAGTTGAAAGTGTTTGACGAACTTGGTGTAGTGTCAGAGCATGTAGAAGAATCTTACCTAGCCACTTTCTTAGCTTGTTGGCTTTGTAAGTTTGTTTCCCCAAAGATGACGTTAACTTTATCCATCCTGAAGTCTTTAAAGTGGCTAGCAAGATGGCTGCAGGTGAATCATTTAGCCTCACCATTCCAGTCTTAGCCAATATTTATGACAGCTTGTGTATTGTTTCGAACTTAGCGAGCACTAAAGATTGTGCTGTGGTACTCCCTAACCACTATGTGTACGGTTGGTTGGGTGACTATTTTGGCACTCATTTTTCTTCGTCAACTTTAGACAAGTTGAGGCCTTCTTAGTCAACTTCAGCCAAGCTGGGGCCTTTGAAGAGAAAGTACTCTGGCGTGCTTTCTGCAAAGAGCCTTGATGATTTGCATGCGCAAGCGTTGTTTAGAAGCTGTGAATGTTTGAGAATGGATCATCTGGCAAGGGTTGGCTCGGAACGGTGAGGCCTCATAGATAATTCACACATTCGTTTCTCAAACTTGTCTTATTTTACAAGTTTTCGCTTGGGTTATGTTTCTTTGCGGCAAGAAGACCGATGTATTGTTCAACCGTATAGTCCTCACCGTTTTAGTAGGCAGTATGGCTTTGTCCAACATGTGCCAAGCAAGCTGAAGGAAAACGCACAGTTGGAATCCTTGTAAGCCATGTATGTGCATTGGGAGTCTTGTACTCGTGCATGCACAAATGCTTCTATCACCCTACTAGCCAATGACGAGTTCAAGAGTAATCCAGTGACCCGAGCCTATGTAGATTAGTGGTTAAAGGTACACCATGAAAACTTAGGGATGGCAAGTGGCACCAATTCTTCTTGTTCATGCAATGATGCCCTGTTCTGCGGTTCTTACGCAATTGGCACCTTTCAATTGTGCGAGCGCAGCTCCTTTGCAAGATAGACCTACGACCTTAGCTCTTCAATGCCCGTTTTTATCTTTTCAGCC